ATTTTGATAAAATCTGGTGTGAATGTTTTTAAACACTCAAAGATGAATCCTATTGAAAATCAGACATATCTAAAAATATTTAATGAGTTATTGCCCTTGTTCTTGAAAATTGGTTGTTGACAATATAGAGAGCTGGTTTCTTGATGGATTTTGATAAAATTTGTTGTGAATGTTTATTGTCACTTATTGATAGAACTCTATTGAAATCAGACAAATCGAAAAATATTTGATATGAGTTATTGCCCTTGTTCCTGGAAAGACGTTCAATTTCTATTTGAAAATGTGTTGTGGACACAATAGAGAACTGGGTTTTTGATGGATTTTGATAAAATTTGTAACAATGTTTGTATTTACAAATTGAAAATCAGACATGACATTTGATATGAGTTAATACCCCTGCTCTTGAAAACTGTTTCAATTTTTAGCTTGTGAAATGCTTAGAAGGCACAATTCTTGACAGATTTTGACGAACCGTGGTGCAATTGTTTATTATTTCCCAATGTTGTATTCTATATATATATACCAAAAAATTTCAAAAAAAGCATTTAATATGAGTTATTGCCCTTGTTCTAGAAATCTTGTTCAAGGCACAATTCTAGACAGATTTTGACGAACCGTGGTGAAATTGTTTATTATTTCCCAATGTTGTATTCTACCAAAAAATTTCAAAAAAAGTATTTAATATGACTTATTGCCCTTGTTCTAGAAATCTCGTTCAAGGCACAATTCTTGACAGATTTTAAAGAAACTTGGTGGATCACCCAAGGATATACCCTATTAAACAGCAAAAAATTGTAAAACATGTAATATGGGTTATTGCCCTTTGTTGTTAAAAACATCTTCAATATTGTTCAATCGTTAGCTTTTAACACCTAAGAATACAAAATTCTTGACTGATTTAGACTGAACTTGAAGGAATTGTTTATTACAACCCAAGATTGAACCCAATCAAAAATCCAAAAAAGAAAAGAGAGAAAAAGGCTGTGAATAAAGCTCTTGCAGTGTTAAAATGTTACTCTCGAAATATATAATTTTACACTGATAGCTCATGTGACTGATGACTTGGCTCTCATTCAAATTGTGGGCGTATTACGTTGGCCATCGCTATTTTTTCAAATATTGAAATACAGATCCAGTACTGGTAGTACTTCCAAAAACATTGTTTTCTGGTAACTGACATCTGGCTATGATTTCCCAATTTGTTTTCTAATAGTTGTTTTATCTCATTTGAATATTTATGGTTTTAAACTTATTTATGTGCAAGCTGGAAGCGTAGCTGAACCTTCAACAGGAGCTGAAATATAAAACAGAATTTTCAGGAGCAATATCAATCTACTAGATTATATATTGAAAATTACTCAGGGTAATCTAGAGAAATCAACTCAGTAATTTGAATCTACTTGTTGGTAGGAAACTTGATAGTTAGTTCTAGTATATTGAAAGTGAACCTTTCTTTATATCTTTTTAACAATTCATCAATCAAACATTGATTCTAAGTTGAATCACAGTAGAATTAAATTGATACAGTAGCCATTGGTCATTATCACCTAGGGATGAACACTATTGAAAATCAATATAATCAGTACATATATTTAGTAAAACTTTTTCATTGAATTGTTTGGTTGAATATTTCGCACTGGTTATCGTATAGTTGCCATTCTGTCGCATGTTCTTATTTGAAACAAAGCTGGCCATATATAACCTAACCATGCAAGCCATCTTTTCATGAAACATAGTGGGTTGTATTACATTTACCAACAGCCAGCCTAGATGGATATATTGGTCCACTAGTTATATTTACTTACGTGTAGACACATCTATTTCCAATTTTAGGGGATTTTCCGGTTCTGCACCTCCACATGATCCATCTCCTGTCACATGTATGAAATAATCTGTTCTGCTCTTGATAACCTTTTTTGGATTATTTCCGACGGCTTTCCATACATTCTGAAATAGTAAACATTCAATGATTATAACAAATCATCTTAACTGAGGTATGGAAGCTCAAATACGACACTCATTATAAAATTTTGAATTTGAAAAAATAATTTTGAATTTGAAAAAATAATTTTGAATTTGAATGAATAATTCTTAATTAAAAAAATGATTTTTAATTTTAATCTAATCAAAATTAGAAAGAAAAAATAATTCTGAATCAAAATTAAAAGCAGAGACTTACATTTGAACTAAATTTCAATCCTGTGTTAGAAATATCTAACTTAGCCACACCTCTCAATTCACAACCAAACCCATCAGAACAGGCCTTAGCTACACCATATGGTCTTTGTGATCCAAAATCTTGAGAAGTAAATTGGTAATCATCATTTAACACTGTCAAGTCCTGAAAAAAAATCATTCTTACATTGAGAGAGAAATGGCTCAACAGGAGGTCCAAGAGACACCTGATTTAGTCACTATACACTAGTTTATGTCATAAGAAAATGTGTAGTAAAGAATTATTGCCCATTTATTTAATGATATGAGTTAAAGAAGTGTTATTTTGAAAACACAAACTTAAACAAATTTAACACCAGAAACAGTTAATCATATCATGTATCTATGAGATAACTAATATTGATAAAGTTTTCAAATTTTGAACAAATTTAGCAACAGCGTTTTTGATATGATTCCTCTGAATATGACTGACCCAGTTTTCCCTTGTCAGTGATGCTGGTCAGAGGCCATCCTCATTAGCCCATCAATGCCATTTCATTTCATTTTAATTTCATTTCAGTAGGTTACGGAAAATTTAATCTCTATTGTCTTTGTCCGCAAAGAAATGTTGACGCACTGTTTTATTATGTTCTTTGTCAATAAAAGAGGCTAGTTTAAATTGGTTGATTATTAGCAGTACATTTAACAGACTGTAGCCCATTTGGCAAGCCTCTAGAATGAGATTGATCATAATCATGTGTCTCTGACGTCATACGGCAGGAAATACAAACTTTGTATCTAATAAGACATAATACAATACAGATTGTCAAGTGAATCAAAACAGCCATTACCATAATATTTGTATGGGGGCGGCATACAAATCTTTTTCAAAAAAAGAATGTTGTATATAGTTTTTATTAGAATTATCATCCATACCTGTGGATTTATCCGAATTTTTGTAAACTCTGTCTTTCCCATCCCTTGTGGATTACTACTATCCAAATTATCACAGTTAGTGTATCGTCCATTTGGAAAATGTGCAAAGTTATTACCAGACAACGACAGATATTCTTTTGGAGACTGTGTTGTCATACCATAACAATACAAGCGCACTTTTTGTTGGTTTAACACTGCAGGATACAACCAGTATTCTCCATCAGTATAAGATGGATTACAGTCTTGGAGATCTTTACATGTTGAAAGAGCTGAAAGATAGTAATATTCATAATAATTTTATAATGATAATAATATTCACAATAATTAAAATAATGATAACAATATTACAGTAATCATATTAATGATAACAATATTCACAATAATTATAATAATGATAACAATATTCACAATAATCATAATAATGATAACAATATTCACAATAATCATAATAATGATAATAATATTCACAACGATCAGAATAATGATAACAATATTACAGTAATCATATTAATGATAACAATATTCACAATAATCATAATGATGATAATAATATTCACAATAATTATAATAATGATAATAATATTCACAATGATCAGAATAATGATAACAATATTACAGTAATCATATTAATGATAACAATATTCATAATAATCATAATAATGATAACAATATTAAAGTAATCATATTAATGATAACAATATTGACAGTAATCATAATAATGATAACAATATTCATAATAATCATAATGATGATAATAATAATTATAATAATCATAATGATGATAATAATTATTCACAATAATCATAATAATGATAATAATATTCACAATAAATCATAATAATGATAACAATATTCACAATAATCATAATAACGATGACATTATTCACAATAATCATAATAATGATAACAATATTAAAGTAATCATATTAATGATAACAATATTGACAGTAATCATAATAATGATAACAATATTCATAATAATCATAATGATGATAATAATATTCATAATAATCATAATGATGATAATAATATTCACAATAATCATAATAATGATAACAATATTCACAATAATCATAATAATGATAATAATATTGACAGTAATCATATTAATGATAACAATATTCACAATTATCATAATAATGATAATAATATTCACAATTATTATAATAATGATAATAATATTCACAATGATCAGAATAATGATAACAATATTACAGTAATCATATTATTGATAACAATATTCATAATAATCATAATAATGATAAAAATATTAAAGTAATCATATTAATGATAACAATATTGACAGTAATCATAATAATGATAACAATATTCATAATAATCATAATGATGATAATAATATTCATAATAATCATAATGATGATAATAATATTCACAATAATCATAATAATGATAACAATATTCACAATAATCATAATAATGATAATAATATTGACAGTAATCATTAATAATGATAACAATATTCATAATAATCATAATAATGATAATAATATTCACAATAAATCATAATAATGATATTCACAATAATCATAATAATGATGACATTATTCACAATAATCATAAAAATGATAATAATATTCACAATAAATCATAATAATGATAACAATATTCACAATAATCATAATAACGATGACATTATTCACAATAATCATAATAATGATAACAATATTAAAGTAATTATATTAATGATAACAATATTGACAGTAATCATGATAATGATAACAATATTCATAATAATCATAATGATGATAATAATATTCATAATAATCATAATGATGATAATAATATTCACAATAATCATAATAATGATAACAATATTCACAATAATCATAATAATGATAATATTGACAGTAATCATAATAATGATAAAAATATTCATAATAATCATAATAATGATAATAATATTCACAATAAATCATAATAATGATAATAATATTCACAATAATCATAATAATGATGACATTTGCAATAACAGAATGTAAGAGCTTACAAATTATTGTTAATGTTACCAGGCCACACTAAGTACTAGAGTTGGGGATATATGAGGTTTTTTTTTCATGATATAGACCAATAGTTTGTATATGGGACTGCATCTGACCACAAACCTCAAACCAAAGAGTTTCTGACTTCAAGACAACCAAAAAACACAAAAGGAAATAATTATAACTGTAAATCAGGATGCAGTGAAGAAATGCTTCTGAGGAAATAGGTTAGAGTCAATTTTAAATTAAATTAACCATCTAGAATATAGAATGATATATGTGTACACATTCAGACAATTGTAGCCCACAAATGATTCACTGAAATTCAAAATATTTCAATTTGACCAGCTCCTGAACAATATTGTGAAAAAAATAGAATTAAAAGAGGACCTTTTACCTTTCTATTCTAACTTATATTTCAAGTCATTTCTTATTTACCACTTTATCTTTAGTCTACACTCCTGAGAGTTCTTTGTTTTGATTACATCTTTGAAGCTCAGTCTGAATATCACTTAAGTTTACTTTAATAATTCATGATTTGTTTGTGTGTTCAGTCATATGTGAATAACTTCATAACATAATTATCACTTATTTAATAGGAAACTCTTAATGAAAAAGCAAGAATTGAATGGACTGTTAAAAAAAAGTAAGGCACTGGGGAATAAGCTGAAGTTTGAAGTGGTTCTGGGTATTTTAAAATGTAAGAGGGCAAAATTTGAATAATTGAATATTTAGTCTAAAAGGGTACATTATTAGCAATTTATTGATCCCAAAATGAACTCATATATATTTTTGGCTTGTTCATCTGGCAGTCTTATTTACATTAGACCAAACTTTCCTTATTATAATGACACTGACTGCTGTGTTTGAGAGGGCAGAAATTTGATTGGCTGGTGGTATCATCAAACTAATGAATTTTCAAGAAGAGGTCTTTAGACCCAAACAGGTGTGGCTTTATTCAAAATAAAAGTAAATAGAAATACCCCTGGAGCAATTTGCAGCATGTGATGATGTGATG